ATAAAGGCTTATATTCCCATCACCAACGGTTCAATAATATATATATGATATAGGAATGTGTCATAAAGATTTGCACTGATTTTGTCATTTACCAAATTGACCCATCGCTTGCTTATACTACGTCACCTGATTCCAATCATGTATTTGATTGGAATTCCAATTGCCATAGCTTCAATGTGCATATGTGTTTTCACTGTTCGTATAGGTCTGTGTTAGTTGATCAGTTAGTATACATTCATTTTCCTTTATTTTATTTGTTTCGATAGACTTATTCCTTACAATACACAAAACTTTTGTATTTAGACAATTATACATTAAATCTTTTAGTGCAGCGATCCCTTTATTTTTGTATTTAAGAATTGAATGTTTCTTTTTGTAAATTTATTGGGGTGTAAAATCGTTGACCGAAGTACATTTTGTATGAAGCGCGGAAGCGCTTCATTCTAAAAATGTACGCACGGTCAACGCTTTTACAACCCTATAAAATTACTAAAAGAAGCATTCAATACTTATAATTACAGTTTTTTACTAGGATCATTTAAACACGATTTCTATCAAGTTTTTCTTTTGTTTACCTGTGCACTTTATTGTGGAAACTCGTGTCATCAAGAATGTTACATTTCATTTTGAAATGAAGGTTAATTTCAGAATGACGCGAGATTGTTGTTAGCCAATCAAAATAACGTATTATAATGAAACATAAAATACTTCTTATATCTATGTAATGTATGTTTTTAAAACATACATTTCAATGGCAATGGCAAAATATTTTCAAGATCGTTTTTGACATTATTTCACCTCCAGTTTCAAATGTTTTAATATTTGTATTTATAAAAGGTAATACTAATGAATAATACATACGAATATTCTTTATTAAAATCTAATTTTGAATATTAGTAGCTTTCAATGTTATCACATAGTATGTCTTTTTTAAAAGTGGAAAACTTAGGCTTGGACATTTAAGTTATTTATTTGTCGTCCTGAATATGCATGAAATATTTGCCACTGGACGTTAAGCAACCAACAATCAATCAATCAATATAAGTTATTTAAACTCGGGTACTGTGATATTTGACCAAATATTTAAAATTAAACTCTATAAGTTACAAAAGTACGGACCGTCATGAATTTTCAATTTTTGAACGTTTTATTAATGACAAATGACGGGTAGTACACACGTTACACAGTTTCCGATCATTGTCTGCTTTAAATGAATATATTTTACCTTATTTGAATATATTTAAACCCATTCTAAGATTCTATAGATTGCCTTATTCTGAAGGATTCACTTTTTATCGCATTCTGATAATAAGCGCTTAATTCTCAATTTGAGAAATCTTACTCTTCAAGAAAGTAATACGTTGAAAGACATTGCTGGATTAATCTCTACTTTGAATTCCACCAGCGTCATTAAATATACATTACAATTAATTGGTTATCCGTTATTGTGATGTAGCTTTCTTCCAAAATAACATTTATCGAAATTACAGTTGTTGAGACGTTGTTACTTGAATCACATCTTCAAACGAAGACGAATGAGATATAAAGACATTCTATGTAAATACATTTATTTGGAGCAAGACGGATTTGTCTGAGTGTGTGCTTGATATCAGACTGGAACTTAATGCACGAAATGAAAAAAAATCTTAATCAATTTCACGTTTACGGAACAGTTATAATCTGAATGTATTATGTAGAATGCTTTAACAGTTCAGTTCGATAAACGCTGAATATTATAACATGAACCAGTGGCTTATTTTAGCGTGTCAATTTGTGAAAATGATACAAATTATTTTAAAAATCCATCAACCTGATATAAATGTATATTGTACAACAAACCACAAAGAAAGGCGTAATCAAATAATACATAGCCTACCTGATAAAGCATCATTAATGAAATAACATGGACTATAAAACATCATATTGACCCATTTTACCATATGAACTAAAATCAGCCGTATCGAAGTAATGGCTTATTTAGATAACAACACGCTTTCTAGAACTTAATTGGTAGTAAAACGTTTTATTTTTTTAAAATCAGGATATTGCTGAAAATAATACACATGAACCATGAGATAAAAGCAGTTCTTTTGTTTAATTGCCATACAGCTGTACTTCCCCATAATGCAAGAGAATAAAAAGCTAAGCTCTATAATTGTTATTGACAAAGTGTCCCAATATCAGATGGAGACGGCAGTTTCCTGTCGTTAATCATATTACGTGTGTGAGTGATCTTATGAAGGCAGGAAAGTAGAACTTATTTTTTAAGGATAATTTGATCCTGTAATGCAATCAGTGAATTTTTATATTCCCATGTTTGTTGTAAAATTTATTAGTTGTCTGAGCCATGGCCTTACATCATCAGGCGAGTATGCCTTAAAAAGACTGTAACAGGTGTCATAATGGGAATATCATTAGTTGTCTGAGCTATGGCTTTACATCATCAGGCGAGTATGCTTTAAAAAGACTGTGACAGGTGTTATAACGAGAATATCATAATGAATTGTCAGGAATTGTACATTTTTGTAGTTATATTAGCATGCTATCATTCTCTTTAAGAAAACTATTACGATTTTTCTTTATCAACGATATGAATATTATACCCACCGGAACAAATATGGAATAACACGAAAAACAAAATATATATAAAATTTATTTCCGGATATATCCTCAGTCTCTATATGTCTTCTTCATGCCAAAATATCAATATCTGACAGCACATTTAAAATGACCTCTATCCAAAATGGTTCAAAATGCATTCCTCGTAATAAATCATTGAGAAAAAGTCTTGGATACAACAATAACTAGTAAGTCAGCCCGGATACAACAATAACCAGTAAGTCAGCCCAGTTAGCATTATTAGCCTCTCGGCCTATTGGCGTGACTTAGATATATTTTATATGTAAATTTTAAATCCCTCAAACTTTAGACGGTTTTCGCCTATTCTGTTTATGTCCTTATTGTTTTTATGCTTGTTAAACGTTTTGTATTTTTGACCGTCCAAACTTTTGATTAAGTGTTACACCTTCAGATCAACTATTGAAACTTAGCACTCAACACTCAAGAACAATCTAATTAAAATACAGATCATGTTTCCAAGCTTTGCTTACAAGGATCTAAAAACACTCCGTTTCACTTTCTTTTTTTTGTAATTGTTACATCAACCAATGAAATTGCAGCCTTCAAATTTTCGAAGGTGTGTATTAATCCGACAAAACAAGAGGATTCCGAAAGGTCTTTAAAACAGAAAGTAGAACGGAGCGTTTTCAGATCCTTGTAAGTAAAGCTTGGACATCGGATCTGTATTTTAATCAGATTGCACTCTAGAAACGACTAGTACCAATCTTGACCTTTTGATTTCCGAAATGTTTTATTTTCGAAATTTAACAACTCCGGTTAAAGATATCTATGGAACTTTGCAAACTTATTCCTTCCTTTGTTTTATTTTCATGCAGCAACTAAATCTGGATAAGACGAACGGAAACGAAGAACCATGCATGCATACAGTTATAGCTGAATAGCAGCAAACAAATTGACGCTTATAGTTTTTACTTACAAACAATTACAGCAATATAATTTGCATCGATTTGGATAACAAGATTACTGTTTAATCTTAAATAATGTAACTATGTATTTCAGCAGCGTTTTCATTCATCAAAACGAATTAGTTATTCGTTCTAGTCTTCTGTGCTTTAAACACATAATCATGTTTGCATCGTAGAAAGCTGAAGTTCCGTGTAAGCGTTAGACTTTTGGTTCTAGTTGGTTGAACTTTAATCAAAAAGGTTTAACCTTGTATTCTTACTACAACAAGAAATATATTCACTTATTTTGGGGATTCAAAAAAGAGTGGAATTACAGAATTAGTGCGCTTATATTCTGTTGTGGTCTTCTTTGCGTTCTTAAAAAGGTCTTTTACATTACTATAGTTGTTAATTTCTGTGTCATTTGGTCTCTTGTGGAGAGTTGTCTCATTGGCAATCATACCACATCTTATTTTTATATTCATTTTTTTTGTGTCAACAGATTCTATTCAAGGTAAACTTAGTAATCCCTTGAATAAGCTTGTTATTTAACGTTATCAATAAAACATTACTAACTAAAGATGTTTGAATATTGTCTTTATTTGAACAAAATTTGATCATGTTTTTAATGATTTAAAACATAACTAAATATGTATAATAATTGCTATACAGTAACATACACTTATGGTCCTACATCCTATCGAAACTTATATTGTGCGCGTGCACTGTCGTGCTTTTCATATACTGGTTATGACGTCTTTACACTAAATACGTTGATGTATCATGATTAATATTTAGTCTGGGAAAACACCGTTTATTTATTAGTCTTTAGTTTTCTGTGTTGTGTTATATATACTGTTGTTTGTTTTTTTTGGTCCTTTTCTTAGTTTGACATGGCGTTGTCAGTTTGTTTTTGTCTTTGGTATCTTTTGCGTCTCTATTGATATTTGGTTTCAACTCGAATTCAGTTACTGGGAGAACTCTTAGATTATCCGCTGTGTTGCTAACGGTACGTTAAAATTGGTGCTAAGTTCGGTTTTAAGATGCACATTTTAAATTTCCATTTGCTTCATGCTCTGATCTAGCGTTGTAATCTTCATCTTTATAATTGTAAGACTATACGCGAACAATGCAGTGTTATTTGCAGGGTTCGTGTACAAACTATTTAGGTCTGTTTTAGTTTTACGTTGCTTCCTAAGTTTTAGTTTAAGTTATTTTTTTGTGTACCTGTTTATGCGTAATGGAAGTCTTTTTCTTTATGGTTTATAAAGTTAGATACGTTTATACTAAATAATTTGTTGTACAAATGGTTTAACTCCCTGACAAATACATTTTCTAAAATGTAAAAGAATAAATAAAAAAATATTTGTTTGTTCTCTTGCTAACAAAATTCTGCAAGAGCTCTGAAATTTCTTGAAAATTTGTTCGACAGTTTATCAACTATTCAAGTGACAATATTTTCTTTTATCATTTTAGGTGGATTTTCCTACAAAAGGATTTTAGATCGAAGACAATTACGAGTTGGATTCCCACCAGAAATTCTCGCTGATGCTCAAAATATAACCGTCCATCGAAATGACAGGGCAATTTTGAACTGTACAATAAGGCACAGAGGAACAAAAAATGTAAGTTTTTGTCTCGCCTGTGACGATAGTTGTATAATGCGAGACATAGGGATTACAATCCGACGGCGACGGCGTAAACTTATTGTTTAAATAAAAGCTTTAAATATCAGAAGGTAGAAAACCTGGATGCTTCATACCTTGTATGCAGATACATTATGTTTCGAAGTTTCCGTCTGTCATATGTCCATTGGACCTTGACCTCATTGTCATTGTTCAGTGACTGCTTGAAAAAAAAATACATTTTTGTGACAAGTGAAATACTCACTTATTATGAGTAATAGGATAATTATGTTATTTGGTATATGGGTTCCTTGCAACGTCTACATGTCCATCAGGTAGGTTCATCTGACCTCGACCTCGATTCATAGATACGTAATCAAGGTTAAAGTTTGTTAGCTATTATTCGTATGTTTCTCTGTCCTATATGTTCTCCCATTTATTTGTATTGTAGTCCTGTCATGTAATGTTGTCATTTTAATGTTATATTTAACATTGCCATAAAAGCGGGAGGTTTGGCTAGCCACAAAACCAGGTTCAATCCACCATTTGTTTCTTAAAATGTCCTGTACCAAGTCAGGAAAACGGCCATTGTTATATTATTATAGTTCGTTTCTGTGTGTGTTACATTTTAATGTTGTGTTTCTGTTGTGTCGTAGTTCTCCTCTTATATTTGATGTGCTTCCCTCGGTTTTAGTTTGTAACCCGGATTTGTTTTTTTCTCAATAGATTTATGAATTTCGAACAGTGGTGTACTGATGTTGCCTTTATTTAAAGTCACGTGGTCAAGTCCGTATCTCATAAACTATAAGCATTAAGTCAGCTATATTTGGTGTGATTGAAAGGTGTACATGTCCGACTGGTAGGTTTAATCTGACCATGACCTCAATTTTATGGTTCATTGGACAAAAAATGAATGTTTAGTTTTTGTGGTTTGGTCTATTTCACAGATACTATAAGCAATATGGCCACTATATTTGGTGTATGGAATGATTGTAAGGTATTTATACATGTCCGTCTGGTCTGTTTCATCTGACCTTGACCTCATTTTCAAGGTTCATTGGACAATGTTTAGTTTTTGTGTTTTGGTTTATTTCGCAGAAATTTTAAGCAATAGGTCAGTTATATTTGGTGTATGGAACTATTGTCAGGTGTTACAGTACATGTCTGTCTGACGTGGTTCATCTGTTGGTTACAATGTACTTCATTTGATAATGTTAAGTTTATGTGATACTTGTAGTAAAACTTTCATGTTACAGGCTTTCAACATAAATTCAATGATACGTAAAACAGGCGAGACATTTCAGCGTGTGCACTCTTGTTTTAATATTTAATTTGCCGATATAATTTTGATTGAAAATTATTCAGGCAAAGAAAGTTGATTGTATTGTCACAGAAGATGGTGTTTGTTAACAGTGTATAGAAGCTTGTTTTCTCCACGATGAGTCATATTTTCTGATGTGTCACTTTATATCACAAGATTTTACTAGCAGTACGGCTACCTGGCTTAGGAACTTTCGGTTACAAGGCGGAGTGAAGATCGCCAAATCGTTAATTTCGATTGTTGACTAATGTTTACATGTGTACACAACTTAATTACCTACCTACCTTAAACGTGAGAAGCCCACTCATTTAACATTTAATTTTTGTAAAACATTGAATACAATAGCTTTTCCTATTTTCTAAAGGTATTGTATAATCAATGCTTATGATTAAAATAAAGAAGTGGCAGTTTTACTCAAAGGGATGGGCAAATTGAACATATACAGGTTTAACCCACTCTAACGGCATGGCAATCCCACTCAAAAGGATGGCCACAGGACATATCTACAGGTTTTACCTACTCCAACCATGTAGGGGTGGAAATGACAACATCCACGTGATATGTAGTGTACTATGCATTTTAGACATTTTTGTAACAATGTGGTTACAATAATGTTCCAGTTTCTTCTCGTTACCGTCAATATATAGTTTAAATAGTCGCAATTCATTTAAAACTGAATTTTTATATTTTATTTATTCAAAGCACTCTGAAAATCAATACCTTTAACTTGAAACCAAACAACAGAAGTTTAATTATTGTTTAATTGCTTTAAATCGTAAAGCGAGAATTAGCCCGTTAAATAATATGCATTAAAGATTTTATAATGATGCAGCGAACTGAATTGTATCCAAACAGTTCCCGACTGATTGGGACGCGATAAACAAATAATATAAATTATCAGATCCATATTTAATGATTTCTCATTTACATTTTCTATCTTCTCGTATTACGACCGTTGTCTATTATTTTTAAACACACGAGCGAGTTAAATCTATTAGATTATTTATATAAAGTCTGTTTTAAAAATGAGTAAAGATATCAGATGTCATAAACAGTTTATATTTCAATGCACAAATCTGATTTATTATGCAATAGCGAACTGCAAGAATTCCGCATTGTTGTATTTTAAGCCCGGGTTAGAAAGGGGGGTCTTACTTTAGTTACGTCATGCACGCGATATTGCGTCTCAATCGGTATAAAGACATAATTTGGCGTTTTCCATCGATAATCGAGAGATTTTTTTTCTTCTTCCGTCGGCAATGTTGTTTATGGATTACATAGATACTTTCATATGTTTGAGTAAGATAATAGGGTTAGAAATGTAAAATTCAGTGATTTCCATTTACTTCCGAAAAGTAGGAATAAGCCCTCCCCCCATTTGAAAGAAGTAGTGGAGACTTGGTGAATAGAGTCCTATACTTAAATAGTCAACACTTCACCATATGTAGTAATGACTGGTAAATTAGATTTAGAAAGATCAGAATTTTGGGAAAATATAATTGTAATTATCGAAATGCAAATCTTCAGGTACATGTTGTACACTGACTTTCAAGTTCCGCGCATACATGTATGAAATGTATTTAAACATGGATTATTTTGAAAAGAAATGGTTATTTTTTAATTCTATCAGAATAGACTTCATTGACAACTTTTGAACCTCGGTCGAACGAACAGCACAATTCATAAAAATCCTTTGTTCGATTTTTTAATGGCCTTGATGTTATTTTCATAATTTTGATCCTCTGTTAAAGCCGTTACATGTACCATGCACCATATCTTATTCACCAATTATTCCGACAAAATTTTCATTCATATCGCAAATGTCTTCATTTGCATAAGAATTTGAGTAGCTTACAGTTTGAATCATTTAATTCTTTTCTCTCTAAATTTCCAATAAATTGGGTTTCCCAACAATCGCTTATCACTATATTAAAACAGTCTTCACAGTTGTATCACTATACATGTAGGTATCGGACTAGAAGCTTCGTATCGGAGTGTCTGGCTATAATTTGGTGTTTTTGTGGTTCTTGTCCACAGGTTTGAAGTTTTAGAATTATTATGTTACTTGTTTATTCACAGAATGTTTAACTGTTATATATTTTATTATATCAGTATATTTATCAAATTATTAATTATGACGTTGTTGTTCTTATCTTCGTTTCTATCATTTGCATATAAAATATGAGAGTAATAAAATTAAGACAACAATCAATCAATAGAATTAAGAATGGAAACGGGGAATGTGTCAAAGAGACAACAACTCGACCAAAGAGCAGAAAACAGCTCAAGGCCACCATTGAGTCTTCAACACAGCGAAAAAATCCCGCACCCGGAGGCGGGATTTAGCTGGCTACTAAACAAAAATGTATACTGGTTCAGAGAAAATGGACGTTACACTAAACTCCGAAACATATAAATGAACAACCAGAATTAAAAAAAAATGCAAGACTAACAAAGACCAGAGGTTCCTGACTTGGGACAGGCGCAAAAATGCAGCGGGGTTAAACATGTTTTTGTGAGATCTCAACCCCTGCCCCTATACCTCTAGCCAATGTAGAATAAACAAACACACAGCAATAAGCACAGTAAAACTCAGTTTAAAAGAAGTCCGAGTTAGAATAGGTAACAAAAAAAACTAAGTAAATGATCAACATAAATTAACAAAGGACTACTAGTAGATACTGACATGCCAGCTCCAGACCTCAATTAAACTGATTGAAAGATTATGTTTTCATCATATGAAAATCAAGCACAATCCTTCCCGTTAGGGGTTTAGTATCATACCATCATAAAATATACGAGAAGAACATAACCCGTATCATGCCAATAACTGGTTTTAGAATAGAGGTAATTATTCCAATGCAAAGCCCCTATGAGTGAATCAATATTAATTCCAAAAAATGCCATCTTTAATGACCTGACAACAATATCGTAACTATATCCCAATTGAATAAGTCTGTTTAAAAGTTTGGTTAGCTTTTGAGGTGAATGACGATATTTTTGTGCTTTGTATAGAATATTACCATAAAAGATTGGATGTGAAATACCTGAACGTATAAGATGTCTGCATGTTGATTTATATTTACGAATGATGTCTTTGTACCGATGATAAAATTTAGTAAATGTTTTGACAAGTTTGTGATATCGAAAACCCTGGTGTAATAATGCTTCAGTTATACTGAGATTTCTTTCATTAAAAGCAAATACGTTGTTACATACACGAACGAATCGAACAAAGACCATAAGAGGGTGACAAGGGAACGTCACCATCTAAAAATGGATAATTAACAATAGGAAATGAAAAATCATCTCTTTTATCGTAAATTTTGGTATTAAGCTTCCCGTTAAAGACATAGATATCAAGATCCAGGAAAAAGCAGTGTTCATTGTAAGTCTTAGCTTTTTTTAAAGTCAGTTCAGCAGGATAAATCTCTTTAGTGTACATACTGAAGTCGTCATTATTGAGAGCCAATATATCATCCAAATATCTAAAAGTGTTATTAAATTTTTGTATCAGATGTTGTTTCGATGGGTCTTTGCTGATTTAAGTCATAAATTGTAACTCGTAACAATACAGAAACAGGTCCGCAATAAGTGGTGCACAGTTAGTCCCCATTGGAATTCCGATAACTTGACGATATACGGAATCTCCATAGCGAACAAAAATGTTATCTAGTAA